CCCCCCCTCCCGACGTTTCCTTCTTTCTTTTCTTGCGAGATCATTGCACGACTCGTCTTTCCAGCAAATTCGATCAACGACGACAACGACGTCTCGTCCGCCGAAACAAAAACTGAGAAAAGAACGCGACGTACCATAATCGGTGGGAACGAGGGACGAAGCGATTGACAATGGTCTCAAAGGCGCGAGAGAATTACCAGTGGAAGACGGTAAGAGAAACGGAGTCGTGAACTCCGTTGAACGTGACAACGATGGTAAATATCCGGAAGTCGGCATCTTCGTTACGAGCAGCAATTACACTCGCGTAGGCGGATAAATAAAATGGATCTCGGCGACGAGCCGAGTTACACGCGTCGCGTCAACTTTCCACGGCTTGCCACGCGGCTACGTCCCTGCGAAAGCGTCGGCGAAGCGTCGTTTCTAAATTTAAGCTCGCACAAAGGTTGAATCGAGCGTCTCTTTGGATGGCCGTCCATTTCTATACACGTATGCCAGGTTTGACGTACCTTTAATCTCCGCTCGAGCCTCTTAACTGCCGCGGACTGCAGCTCCGACCGAGAAAGAGCTGCATTGAAAGAACGCGATTCGAACTTGAATGGAGGCGATAATTCGTCTGCAAGGCGATATACGAACGACTATAGAGGCAAGAATAGAAGAAAAAAAAAACGGAGTGATAAATTGAAAGAATTCTAAATAACAAACGAGACGCGTATACGTCGATATACGTTGATAACGTATGCGACGATGCAGTATCATCCCTCGTTCCCACAAAATCATCCAATGATCGCACCTGGACCACTCGGCTTCTCCCACGGAACAGGTTAATCATTTTTGATTCGACGCGTTCCCGCGTTCGCTGGCTGTGGTGGGTGTGTCGGGCGCACAAGAACGGCGCTAGAGAAGCGTGTTCAGCTGGAAACCGCGAACGTAGAATCGTCTGGATAATCCGCGGTTATCTCCCTTCTCTGAACGCTGCTAACATTACCCCTTCCCCCGTGTTACTCGGCTCTCGTTATCGTTGCTGTTCGGCGTCGTATCCGCTCGGATTGAGCGAGGCGGAGCGATTACTTGGTTATCACCGCAACCACCGGACCACTCGGTGAGCGAACGTTCCACGGTGGACCAGCTCGGCAACCCGGATCGATCTCTCGGTACCTACTCGACTCTCGCGACTCTCGATAAAAAGATCGGTCGACCCGCTGATCACGCTGCGACCATTTAATCGAATTTATTTATTAACGATCGTCCGTGGTACGCGTCCGTGGGCAAAAAGGTAGGCTCGATTTCGGGCGGCTCGATCAGGCACGGATCGAGAGGAATGGACATTTGATAGGAGGAGCAAAGGTGGTGAATATCCGACGTACGAAGGAGGCAAAAGGCAGGAAGCGAGAAGGAGAAGAGAAATCGGGGGGGTGTGCTGGCGCTGATCGGCCCAGAGGTTCGATCGCCAGAGTGCCGCGTGCCATTTAATCGCCGATTAATGGTGGCCGATGTTTAATGAGTGTCGGTGATGACAGATGTGTTTTGCTGCCGTGTTTCGTTCGCCGCCGTCGTCGTCGGTCGCGAAGTGTGACTTGCCCCTGACATCCACGCGTCCACGCACTATCTCCGCAGGACAGCCACGGTGAATTTCGTCGTGAATTTCAGCGATCTCGGATAACACGGAGAGAAAATGTCCAGAGCGGTCGGGATTCACCTGCTTCTGATCGTCTTTCTCCGCTACCAAGGTGAGTCTCCTCGAGGCCCGAGGCTGTTCTTGAGGTTGATATTGAACCCTACGTCGGTTTAATTGGCACTCGCTTGACGATCGCGCGTAATACACCAGGAAATTGACCAATTTGCTAAAATTGAGTCGGACTTATATTGCTACTTGTCACGCGACGTTCTCACCAACCGTATCTGATCGTCTCCTCGTCGTTTCGTCGCATCGATTCTCGCTAAGATGGACAGACAGCCGCCTCATCCGTGTCTCTAATTTTCTTTTCAGCGCTCGGTTTGATACTGGAGGAAGAGAAGGAGCCGAATTATCTGAACGCAGGAGTCGGAGAGTACGCGGTATTTAATTGTGACTTGGACTTTCCGCACGAGACCCCGATTCCCTACATCCTTCAATGGAATCGTGACGTAAGTGCGGCAACATTGACTTCACAGCTAATTTCAATGTAGCGTCGCACAGTGGCTAGCTTTTATGAATCTACGTAGATGAAACGAAAATAACGAAAAAATATTCCATCCCGAGCAACAACAAATCAATAAATTTTTAAGTATCTAAATTAAACTACGTTCACAAAAATACTGATTGTTACTAATAGAAAAGATGTACAGTTATTATAAACAAATTAATTAAGTATCGCTCGTTAAAACTCCAAATATACAAGAACGCCAGACATTGAGAAATCCACGAAAATATCGTTTAATAAGTCAAACTGACCCGCGTAGATTGTGTTCGATTTGAATGAATTCATCTCGTGTGTTTCATCCCGTCGCCGTGTGAGACACGAACGTAAAAATGATACTACGCAACATCGATAAATAATATTATTCCTCCCGGCACGCACGAAAATCTCGACTTGCTTACAGAGTACGCGGTCTGCGGTTAACCGGGGAAGATGAGACTTTTACTCGTCCAAATGTATCGGTATCGCTTGGTACCAATCTCGATCGTCCGAGGAAATCGATAATCCGTCTCAAGGAGAAGATTTCGTTCTCCGTGTAATTCGATCGAAACGAGCGAAACATCGATTTACATTCTGTTGTCGTTAGGTGTGATCCAACGATGGTCCATTAAAAGTCAAACAGACGAAGCCTGCCGATTGATTAATCCACGTACAACCGCGCTGGGAAACAGTTCAACACGCTAGAAAAAAAAAAAAAAAAAGAAACGCTCGTTCAAGGCAGGGTAGGCGATACGGTTTCTCTGAAAAACGTCTACCTAATTCGATCAGCGTGGGAAGCACGCGTGTCCCGATCTAGATTTCCGTGACTCCGAGTCTCGATTTCGAGGCGTCGTGCAATATCTTCGACGTCCGCCGGATACAATATTAATGCGGTTGCGATTGCACAATTTCGTATCGCACAACGGCCAGTTTGAACGATCTAGGTAGATACTAAGCGACGTATTCGTACGTTTCTTGCTGCTGTTTGATTTTTTATACATTATAAATTTCCAGTTTCAGCTGAAGGAATAAGAGTTAAAATAATAGAAACATTAGAGGCGAAAAAATAAACATGACGATGTAGACAAATATCGAAGAAATAGAATTTTAAAAATAAGATTGAATGTGACAAAAGAATTGCAATATATTAAAAACGAAGTCGCACAATTTTTCAATCAATCGTTCATAGGAAGATAAAATTCATGTTCGAATTTTGCGAAAGTGATTAATAATTGATATCAACTTTTTTATTTTTATCTCTTAATTCTTCATAGTTCGAAAGGCACGTGTAATTTTCAGATTTGTGTGGAACGTTGCGAGTGAACCATTTCCAAGATATTGATATTTTTGCGAATTCATAAAACTAAACACTGTGCGTCTCTCGATCAAATAACTTCGTACTACGTGAAATGAATTTGTGTTCACTCAATTTGAACGTTGATTTATTCGGTTGCTATTCTTTGATTGGATATTGTTTGATATCTTTAGAGAGCTTATTAAATTCTTCATTCTTCATTAAATTTTGAATTTTATTTTTTTTCTAAACGAACTTTTTTTAATATGTCCCATACTCTGTAAATTTGTACCCTTTTCTATACTAGAGACTTTCAGAGTTAGGTTACAAGATTCTCTCTCGTCCTCCTTTAGGTTTGCTCCAACAGATTTTTACTTTTTCAGAAGTTTAGTAACATTCTTGTGAATTCAGAAAATGTTCAGAGACGGTGTAATTCGGGTCATTGAAGAGTTTTATCGCTTCTAAAAGCCACGAAATTCTTCGAAATTTTTTGTATTTTCTCTCGTTGAGAGAATGTCATGGACACAAGTGGTGCCGTTGTTTCGATTCAAGTCGAAAGTAATTTTCAAAAATATCCAACGCAAACTTTTCTACATAAAAATCCTTCTTTCGCATTTCCGATTTCTTCGTCGTTACGTGTGTGATCTATAGATATAGAAAAACATTTTTATAATTCCATGGAGAAATTGTAAATTTGTCGAATCTCTTGATCGTAAACCGTGGCTGGGCCTGCTGCTGATGTAAAACGCGAATAACGAGTCAAACGGAAGCGTTAAAGGGACATCGGTTGATCGCGTTGATTTCCTGTTCGCGGCGAAGAGGCGTCGTTCTTTCGCGGATGTTGCATTGGACGCGCGTGCAGCCGCGTGCAGCCGGAAACAGATTGAGCGTCGCACATGGCTACCGCATAAAATCAAGTGGAACTTAACCTGATTGGTCCCTGATGCGTATGCAAAACAGGTGCTCGGTCCCTCTCTGTCTGTCGAACGTTGGTAATTGGAGTACGGGACGTAAGGCTGCATTATATTTAGTCACGAGTCGAGTCCGCGACACGAGGGGTCCAACCAGTGGGTCACTGCTAACGCATTGTCAGACGATTAGGGACGATTAGCGGCCTTTTCGCCAGCCTCGTTTTGACCGCCAGGGCTCCCTAGGTTTCAGCGTTTTTCATTTTCACCGGAGGACGCACGTGTCCCCAACGTGCCTACAGTCTCTCTCGTCTTCTTCTTTTTCTTATCTTTTTTCTACCCTCTCCCCGGCGAGGAACACGTATACGCGAGAGCTCCGACTTGGAAACGCGACACTTCCGATGTCTCGTGTTGCAGTTCCTCCCCGTTCTCCCGCGAGGTTCACGCGATCGCGACGCGGTTATGAAATCGATTGTCTCCTGGCTGCCGGCCTCGCGAACGTAATCGCATGTCGGAAGCAAAGCTAGATCGATAAATTAGTTAGACCAGAAATTCAGGAAGAGAAATCATTCTTACCTACGATGAACAGCGACTCGAGAACAGGGAACGAGAACCGTGACTGCCGTCGACGCGAATTCTCATCCTCATTTGACACCTCATCTGAGCAATCTGCGATCGTTGCAGGGTCGAACGATCTTTTCATGGTACAACGGATATCCGTCGGTGGAGCCGCGCTACGTGGGTCGTGTCCACCTTTTAGAAGACGCGGCTGGCCGTGGTTATGGTCAGGGCAGCATCAATCTCACGAACATCCGTGAGAGCGATCAGGGATGGTACGAGTGTCGGGTGATCTTCCCGAACAGAACGCCCAACTCCAGGAACAATGGAACGTGGTTCCATCTCGCTATAGATGGTAAGGTTCCCGTACACTTTCTCGCATCCTATGCGTTTAATCGGCTAATTCGATAACACCAAGTGGCGAAGGGAATTAACGCAGTTAAGCGCCGACTGACTAACCCTGAGCACTGAATTGGGTCACTTGGCTGGACTACCAACGCTAACGCTGCGCTGGACGAAGCAGAGGCTCGTGACCGTGAAACCGTTCTGGATTTCCGGCAACGAGGAAGTAAACGTTTATACGCCTAACTTTACTTTTCACACGTTTCTCACACGCTAGTGTCTTCTTTCCTTTCCTTTTCAAAAATATCGATCTTAATTCAAGAAAGAGAAAGGAACAATTTTCAGCTTCGGTTCGAGCGTCGAACACACGGAGTTTCGTTCGTTCCAACTCATCCAACTTCGTGGCGCGAGGCTAGGCACCGATGATTCACTCGTTAAGTTGAACGGAATTCTGGTTTTTGCCGCTGAAGTTCCGTTAAACGCTAATGGGGAATTGAGTCATCGTGCGCATTCATCGTACGCAGTTGATCGTCGCAGTAGATACCGATCGCGAAATTGACGGGCTCCCGATACAATGGATCCGCTTGATCAGGCGCGCTTGATACGTAATGAAATTCTGCACGCAGTGGCGCGCCCCTTCCTAGAGTAAAGAAAACAAAACAAAAAGAAAAAAGAAGAAACGGACAATAAAGTAACGGGAAACGGTAGCGTAGCGAAAAAGAGTTTCCGTGGTTCGTCGCTGAAAGAACACAATGCCTCTGTCACGCACCGAATCGAAATAACACCTGACGTTGTTGCGTGCACATAATTCACGGTGGCAAACGCGCCGATTAACCAACACGAATGTGCACTAGATTGATTAACGCGTTGCAATCACTGCGACTAAAGCGAATTAACCGAGTTTCGAGAGAGAGAGAGAGAAAAGAAAAAAAAAAGATTAATCCCCGCCTTATTGCCGGCCGACTAAAACCAAAAACGAAACGATTTAATGTAACGCTGATGCTTACTAACCTGAAACTGGGCAGACTCGTTAAATCGTTCAACCCAGGTGCGTCGCCGTTTCCGACGTCTGTTCCAGGCGAGAATCTGCTGGCGGTGCCGCCCGTCAACAAGACTGTAATGGAGGGTGAATCCGTCGGTTTCGACTGCGTGGCCAAAGGTGAGAAGTCGGTTGTTAGCTGGTTCCGCGAGGGCGTGGAAATTACAGAAATCGAGGTAATTTATCCATCGATCGCGGTGTAAAGATACGTGTCCATTTGATAGTCTTTGTTCTCGAGAGCACTCTGTGTCTATTTAACAAGTTCAAGTATTGGGGTGCGCTTTTCCATATTCTGCATTTTAGGACAGCGTGCAGTTATAAGCTGTTTATCCTTCTGGCGGCTTTTGTGTGCAATATTTTTTAAATTGATAGTGGATATTATTATTTAAACCTCTTCCCATAACTTTGTATTATATTTAGGTTCATTCTAAACTTAAATTATGCTTTTTAAAATACAATTGGAAACATATATGTGAATCACCGGTGGTTCAGTCTAATTTCACCTGATGATGAAAATTAGATGTGAACCATAATGGGTGATTCACGCCATTAGTTAAAAATACATGGTTGTGAGTAATCCAATGTTTCACGCCGAGTTGAACGTGTTTTAATATGCGATAGAAGACTCGCCGAGATCATTGGAAATATCCTCAGCAGTTTCTCTTAATTTTTTTTATTTAATATTGTAGACAGATAATCTTATAATCGATAGTTAAATTGAAAGTTTCGATGAATATAACATAAATACTACACTATATTGTATAAATATGTCAAAGAGTATAAAGATGAATACATTCTTAATTTATTATATACTCATTCAATATTTTGGTTTCAAAAACTTTCAGACTTTTGGTAATTTTAAGCATCCGAATGCTTGAGTTTTAAATGAACTGTAATCCTCGTGTAAAAATTTCAAATTTTTATGAATGCAAGCAAAGAAATGCCAAGCGATTCGTTCTCGTTACAAATTATCGCAACAAATACTCTTTCGATATTTTCCATAAATACATAAAAATCCAGAGTCTGATTGTAAACGAAGTGAGTGTATATAATGTACTGTTGTAGATGAAATGATAATGTTTGTAATACAGATTTCAATGTCCATAGCTTTCTTACAAATAATGTTAATCAAATTTCAACCCTCTGGATTTGATATATTTTGATAATAAAACAATTAAATCAATTAATTGTGATTGTGAATTGTGACAGCTACTCCCGGAATTCGAGACTTATTGACTCTATTTTCATTTGACAACAAGTAACAACCACTTTCAAATACATAATTGCAACGATTCTCTCGCGTAATTCATTTGCGAAAACTACTCTCGAGTTTTCATTATCAAATGGACATGTATCATAAGATCATCCAAGGATGCTCCAAATTGATTTCCACCGATTCCTTAACAGGATCTGAAGAGAAGAGCGTCTATCGCCGAGGATGGGACGTTGACCATAAATTCGCCTGCCATGGGTGACCTTGGGGAGTACACTTGCGTGGTGACCGGTGAAACTGGAGATCAGCAGAGTGCCTCGGCCTTCCTCAACGTACAATGCAAGTATTCTCACAATCGGACAATCGTTTCCCTGCGACGAACGAGACAGGCCTTGACCAGAAATTTATAAAATCGGGTGACCCAAATGCGCGTGCAGTTGCACGCTTCGCTGTATCAGAGGGTGGAATTGCTCGCGAGGCCGTGATCGCACACTTTCGTCCAGGAAATGAAATAACAACACCGGCGATAATAATGGGAATTACCGACGAGAATAACGATAATAACGCGATAATCAAAATCGCTGCGGGCGAAAGTTCAACGAGCGTGGCTCCGATTTCGACTAACATCGCCTGGTTTACTTCGTGAACATCTGATTCTGGTTTATTGCTTCGATGCTTTTGAGTTGACGAAGAATCGTTGCCGATGTTTCAGACAAGGCGAAGGTCATCTACGCTCCCCGGGAAGTCTATCTGCCATATGGGAAACCAGCTCTTCTTGATTGTCACTTCAGGGCAAATCCGCCGCTGACGAATCTACGTTGGGAGAAGGACGGATTCCTCTTCGACCCTTACAACGTTCAAGGCGTCTTCTACAGGAGGAACGGTTCTCTGTACTTCAGCAAAGTGGACGAAACTCATTCCGGAAGTTACACATGTACGCCGTACAACGAGCTGGGCACCGAGGGGCCCAGTCCGTCCATCACCGTGGCAAGTATTCTCTTTCTCTTTCATCGGATAATTGCAATTGAATGAAACGCGAGGCCTCTTGTCAGGTCAGTCTGGAATTTTTGGGACTGAAAGCGACGTGGAAGAAAAAGGAACAGGGCGAGATCGTCATTGAGAGCGTTCATCACTGACAGACGAGTGTTAATCGCTCCTTTATTTTTCAATTCCGTTGATAAGCGACTCACCCCTGGCAATTCTCGCTATTGATTCAAGAATATTGTTCGACAGATCGTGCAAAGGCCGCCAGTATTTACAATAACTCCGCAGCATTTGTACATAAGGAAATTGGGAGACAACTTGGAGATACCTTGCGACGCCAAGGATGGAGATCAGGCCCATCGACCGTCGATCGTTTGGTACAAGGTACGTTCTATTAATTTAGGATCTCTTCGATTTGTCCGTTTGTTTAGCTCGCGTGTACGTGAAAATCCCTTTGAGCTTTTTGCTTGAAATGATCAGAAGTCTAAAAATTTAATGTCGAACGAGAAGTCATAACAAATTAAGAATGTATTCATCTTTAAACATATACCTTCTGATGTATTTTTTCAATTATATTATTATTATTGTAATTTGTATAATATATATATTTATATATTACTTGTTATCGTACAATTTGCACATTACATTATTATTCCTCCATGAATCTCTAATAAGTAAAACAATTATTTTATTATTAATTTCAAGGTTATCCGAAGCTAATAATCATTGGGACCCCATTTCATTTTACAACCTACAAATAACAAATAGCTTCTTTGCAAAAGTCTATATACACAGTTGTAATATGAGAAATGTAATAGAAAAATCTAAAAGAATGTAAATGAATATTAACTTTCGATGTGCAAATTGTTTTATTGTTTCATCGTACGACAACGATCTAGTATTTCTTCAGCTGACAGAATAATTGTAAAGTTCAATGATTTCTCGAATCTAATTCTTCTACAATTATTTTTTGTTATTGACACTTTGGAGAAAGTTCTCCTTGCTATGCAAATAGCAGATATTGTTAAAAATATATTAATTTGATAAACATTGTTTCGGCCAGGTTTTTTTGACAAAGCATTTTTGGGCTCCCATACTATTTCGGGTCCATACTATGCTTAGTGCCATTATCTATTAAATCAGATAAATTCACCCTGATTTAAGATATAATAAGATATAAAGAGTATTGACTATAATATCTAGGATTTAGTTTATTGTTACTATCGAAGGACTATTTAGGGATTATTGAAGGCTATACAAGAATTATTATAGAACTAATATTGTCGCAAGGCATCTCTTTATGTTTATATTTTAATTTATCGTAGAAAAAAGAGACGTGAATGACTAACTAGTGAATTTTGCCCTTTATGAGATAATAAGAGTAGGCCACTTTGAAGAGAAAGTATTAGTACTGTCTCAGTGTTAGCACTGAGCTAACATTGATAAAAATGGTTGGTCATCCAATAAAACAAAAATACCAAGTATCGAGACAAATAATGTTACCAAAATATTCGAAAACCTATTTGGAGACATTAAGATGTTTCATGGATTCGAGGACTGAATTGAGAAATATAAATAAATACAAACATCCAATGCTTTAAATAAAGGTTTCAATATTTCCGAATTGTTCCAAATACTTACGTTTGGTCGGGAACTTTTTGCCAGGGATTTATTTTAGATGAGAAATAGGTATAATTTGAATAGAGCTCGGAAATCTCGAACGTGTATGCTTGCGCTATAGGGCTAATGAAATCAAGAGGCCTATCAGAAGAGACGATTAATCTCAATTTTCGTGACAGGATGGCTCACCAGTACCACCGGGCAACAGGACCATTATAATTGGTGGCAACTTAACAATCGATAGGATTCAAGAACAGGACAGAGGATTGTATCAATGCGCGGCTAGCAACGAAGCTGCGACCGTCGTTGCCGACACGGAATTAATGGTATTGAACGTTCCTCCGAGGGCGCCGTACAATCTGAGCGCCAACAGCAGCAACAACGCGGTCACCCTAACTTGGGT